TCAGAAACGTCCTTCACTCGTCAATAGGAAAGGTGTTCTTCTTCTCCACGACAATGCACGTCAACATGTGGCACGTTTGACGCAACACAAGATTATGAAGTTGGGTTGGGAAGTTCTCCCCCACCCACCATATTCTCCAGGTATGGCACCATCAGATTACCCTCTTTTTCGTTCGCTGCAACACCATCTTAATGGGAATGCGTATACAAATGTGGAAGGTGTTAAAGAGGACACTGACATGTTTTTTTTTTTTGCTTCAAAGCCAAGTGATTTCTTTAATCAGGGCATTAACAATCTGATTGTAAGATGGAAAAGCATCATCGATAAAAAATGATGACTATTTCATTTTATAAATTTTTGGTTTTGATATACAAGATGCTCGGGTTTTTTCATATTTATAAAAGCGACAATAATTTTTTGCCGACGTAATATATACACCACACTTCACTGAGGACACTCAACGTAATAGCAAACAACAGAAGCTGAACACGACTACACAACAAAACAACTTATCAGACCCATTACACTAGCAGAAGTACAAGAGAACGTAAAACCTTTGAAAAACAAAGCACCAGGACAAGACAAAATTCAAAACTTATTATTCAAGAAAGGCCCTCTGAGATTATTAGAACATTTCGCATCTTTATATAACTTATCTCTAAAAACAGGATACATACCAACTGCTTGGAAACTGGCCGATACTCTTATGTCACAGAAGGAAGAAAAAACTACAGATCCATAAGTCTAAGAAGCAATCTAGGAAAACTACTTGAAAAACTATAGATAATATATTCATAAATTACCTTGCAACTAAATCAATACTTTTGGAAATATAAAACAGCTTTCGAAAAGCAAGAAAAAACAGTTCTATAAGTTACATCACATTTTTAAATGTGAATGATAGTGTAATTAATTCTTAACAATTTAGCGTAGAATATCCTGTTTACTAAATAAAATTTGGCATCAACATTTTTCATGCCTGTTCTCCCATCATTTCGAACGTGAATGCTGAGGTTTGCCTGCGTGCGCATCTTTTAAAACAAACATCACGAAAAGCAGGCATCCTAAACGAGAGACAGATGAACGCTTGGACAGACACCACGGTTCGCAATATATATAAGATGATAAGGAGTTTCATTAGGTTATGAAAGCAAATCAGTTTCATTAGAGAATATATTGGCGAACTGTTGTGGTATTTATTTCTGATTATAGGAAATGAGGGCACAGAGGCATATTGAACAGGAAAATGGCTTGTGAGATTTAACTGGTGAAAAAATTTAACTGACTTGACCGATGAAGTGAAAAAATAAAATAAGATTGTATTGTAAAATATAACAAAATACACTGCTGACGAAATTACAAATGGAAACAAAATTACAGTAACAGATAAAAATGCAATAAATGAAAAATGTTGATGGTAACTGTATTACCGAAACTAGTCAACTGAAGGCAAGTTTAGAATAGTTATTCGAATTCTAAAATGAAGGTGGGTTTTGCTAGAGAAAACGTTGTTTGAACGGATCTGAATAGTTTCTTTCATCTGGACCAATAGTTCGCAATAGAAGGCTTAATTTTACCATATGTTCCAGGTTTAGCTACTAGTTTATTTAAAGTGTTTAAAAAACAACAAATATTCTACTCTATATTTAAACCGATAAATAAGATGAATCAAATGTTAGGTACTACGAAAGACGAAATAAATACGAAAAACTCCAACGATACAAGTCCTTTCTTAATTAATCCAGTTTATTTTTCCTGGATACAACTTTGGAATGCACATAATTTCGAATCAGTACTTAAACTTAACTACTTTTATAACACACGCAATTCACACACTTTACTTACGGTGCCTACTGTTCACTTAACTCAATTATCTATCTCCGGCTTATATACTAAAAAAGAGGGCGTCTAGCAAAAGCTGGGACATTCGTGATGTTGTCCGCTGTCTTAACAATGTAATTATTTCATTTTTCAAGTAACACATTTTCCGACTGCTTGTAACAAAGTGTGAGGTACACAAATTTCATTCTTCTAAGCCTAAGTGTGGTAAAACTGAAAAGCACAAAGCCAGTTCATTGGATAAAATTAAAAGTCACATTCACAGTATATTAATCATGTAATGTTGAAAAAGATGAATATAGATCTTGGGTTTTGTTGTAATATTTAAGAATAGTGTATGTATAACCACGTTTCACATTGATTTGTTTCCATATTATTACAAAAAAGTATAAGTAAAAAATAGTACATTTTAGATTAAATCAATTTTAACATTCCGCACAAATAATGTAATGTTACGTCTCTGTTCGTTTGTTAATTTTCCGTAAAAATTCTTTCCGAAGAAACTTTAGCGATACAAGTCCTTTCTTAAATAAAACTAGTTTATTCTTTCTCAATACAACTTTGCAATACACTTAATTTCCACAGTCACGCTATAACTTAAACAAACGGTATAATTCACAACGAACGAACGATTCACGCGCTCGACTCAATTGTCGTCTCTATCTCTGTCTGCAATTCAATTCCATTCTTGCTGTCACTTCTTGGCGGTCTTGTATACAAGAATACCGCACATCTAGCAAACACTCGAGGCTTTACAAAGGGACATGAATTTTTCTAGCAGCTCATGACGTTTACTAGCGTCACATGACTTCGACTGTCGTAACAGTAACTACAAATGTTAAGTATCAAACTAAAAGGCATTATATTACATTATTATTAGTACAGTATATGAGTATTACTATCAGCAATAACACTATGGTAATACTACGAGATTAGCTATTAAAAATACATAGTAATAATAGTATTATTATTACTGTGACTATAGTATGAGTAATTGCAGTTCTGACATTGAGACTTAAAAGTTAAATGAAGCGAAGGTTGAAAATATAAAATAAATACCTACACCACAATAAACTTCGTACATCTGAAAAGTGTCATTCAATAACGTAGCCTGTAGGCCTATTTGTACAATTTTAGATAATGATAAGATTGTGAGACCTTATCTTTAAGTACTTCATTAGCGTAAGTTCACTTAAACGTATTAGCTAGTACAAGTTATATTAACAGATCACTTCAAATTTAACATTGAACAGTTTGCTAGCTTTTAACTTTAAACATAAAAAAAAAACCCATAAAACTTTGTTTCTAGAGGACGCTGCCAAGGAGGAAGAAGTTTAAAAGTTAGGCTCTTATACTCAAGATTTATTTTTCTGAAAGTTATTTAATTTGTAGTAATTTGGGTTAAATAGCACAATAATAACTAGCTATAATAAGATTGGTAAATAAAAGTAAGACGGTCAAAGTTTAAAGTTAGAGTTTATGGGTGTAAATTATTAATACAAGTTAAAATAGGCTTAATACAAGTTTCATGTAGTTGGCATCTTAGACCTACATGTATTAATATCATAATTATTTTAATGTTTTTTGCTTAGTTTGCTTATAGAATGCTTAGTTGTTTACCATTTCTTACTATACTGTACTTTAGGCTTAGGTATATTTCAACTTGTATTACTGGTAAATTCAAATTCGATGACGAGGAATCCAATTTGAGACTAATGATGCTTGGAGACGGCTTGAATGGGTAATGGAAAAACACTTTAATATAAGTTTAACGTAACAGCAAATGTACTAAGTTCTGTCATCATCAGGTACAAAAATGCTTGGAGACGGCTTGAATGGGTAATGAAGAAAAAATTTAATACAAGTTTAACGTAACAGCAAATGTACTAAGTTCTGTCATCATCAGGTACAAAAATGCTTGGAGACGGCTTGAATGGGTAATGAAGAAAAAATTTAATACAAGTTT